GTGGTGGGTAGGAAAGTGTAGAGAGATGGAGAAGACTGCGGCCATCGGTAATAGTCGCAATCTTTTTCGTTTAATTAGGAGTACAGGACCAAGGGACGCAGGCGTAAGAGGTAACTAAGGGGTCTGACGGCACACTGATTCAAATTCAGGAACGTTGTCTTGAAAGTTGGGCAGAACATTTTAAGGCACAGTTTAGCTGGTCCCGTTCGACACACGACTTTCTCCCATTCGATTCAACTGTGCAAATACTGCCAGTTGACATCAGCCCTCCACCTGAAATGGAGGTTTCCCGAGAAGTAATTCACCTCAAACGGCATAAGGCTTCCGGCCCCGACGGGCTGTTCTCATCCGTTTTTAAGGATGGACGCTCAGCCTTGGTTTTGGGGTTAACGAAACTCCTGGGCTCAGTGTGGGAGAACGAAGAGGTTCCAACTGAATGGTGTGAATCGGTGATCATACCGATTTACAAGAAAGGTAACAGATACTCCTGTGAAAACCACAGAGGAATTAGTTTAATCAACATTGCTCCTAATCTTCTCGCTGGCATCATACTCCGTCGATTGTCTGCCGCAAGTGAACGGTGCACGCGTGAGAACCAGGCCGGTTTTAGACCTGGTCGAGGTTGTATCGACCACATCTTCACTCTCCACCAAATTCTGGAGCATCGACATTCTTTTCGTAGACCCACCATCTCTATTGTCGTGGATCTTAAAGCGGCCTTCGACTCAGTCGACCGCTCTGAACTCTGGCGCTGCCTTTCCCTGAAAGGTGTGCCCGAGAAGTTTATTTCAATATTACGATCCCTCTATACTCATAGCCGAAGTTGAGTCCGGGCTTACGGCACTTTTTCGTCCGAGTTCACCACGGAAAGTGGTGTTCGACAGGGTTACCCTCTCTCTCCCCTTTTCTATTTAACTTCGTGATAGATTTAATTCTTGAAACAGCCCTATCCTCGTGCGAGGATAGTGACATCAATCTACTACCAGGTGGCAGGCTGTCTGATCTAGAGTATGTAGACGACATTGTGCTACTGAGTGAAGATCCAGGTAAGTTGCAAGCTTTTCTGGATAGTTTGAGTGCTAGTGTTGACATGTTCGGTATGCGTTTTGCGCCTTCAAAGTGTAAAATGCTACTACAAGATTGAGTTGATCCAGCGCCCAGTCTCACCCTTACTGAGGAAGTAGACAAATTTTGCTATCTAGGCAGCTATATCTCATTGGCGGACGCATCACAGATGAAGTGTCGGCGCGCATACAAAAGGCCCGATTGGCATTTGCCAACATGAGACATTTGTGGCCGTCTGTGAAGGGTCGAGTGTGTGCCAAGACAGTTCGCTCAGTCCTACTCTAGTGTGCAGAGATTTGGCCACTAAAGCATGTATGCTGCAGCAGTTCGGCCATTCCTGCTCTACGGTGCAGAGACTTGGCCACTAAGGGAACAGGATAAAAATAGATTTTCGGTGTTCGAGCACCGCTGTCTACGTAGCATTGCACGTGTCTGGTGGGGTAACCGGACTAGCAATGCTGAGGTTTGGCGTAGAGTTTTAGGCAGTCGCGGTTGTCCACCAGAGCAGGTGGTCGACCTCCGTAGATAACGCTAGTTGGAACATGTGCTACGCATGTCACCAGATAGGTTGCCACGGCGAACGATGTTTGCCAAGGCTGGTAGCGATTGGAAGAAAAACAAAGGGCGGTCAAGCTAAGACCTGGCATGAGGGTATGAAAACCCTAACCAGGAGACTAGGTCACATAGGCCCCGTTAGGCTCCCTGGCTGGGGACTTCGGGATGATGGTCACCGATGGTTAGAGACACTGAGTGATATGGCTGGGTATCGCAAACAGTGGCGCTCGTGCATCCACTCGTTATTTTCCTAACACCACTCTATATGTATTCCCCATCTTCCGCTTGAATTTGCTTCGACATTCCAATCTTCATTTCGCTCTTTTATCCAAATGGGCAACCAGAAGACAGCAACCAAAACCGGCGCACGAAAGTGCATGATTGATGGTTGTAAAACTGAACTGAACTGAACCAGCGCATAGTCTAATGAACTCATTTTTTGCATTGCTCTATTGGCTCTTATGCGCAGAATAATGGACGTTATCTCTGTTCTTACGCAAGGTGTTTTATTGCATTCTCGTCTCTTGGTAAACTGAGAATATAGATGGGTTAATCGAAAATTAGAACGGGAGGTTACCCAGTCATGCACAACTACTTGAACAGTTGAGGTGACAGTGATTTTCTGCCTAAACTAGAATTTAGACACATTTTGTGCACAGTTTAGGATAACTTGCTGTGAATCGCTGCGCACAGTTGCTTGAACTCTCCGCCTAACTGTACTATTTCGCTTTTGGAACTTTTGATAGACTTACATGTACCAAATCTGATTAGCGAGCGCATTTTCGTTCACTGTTCATTATAGATTATTTCCATTCGTCTTCCGCACCAACACCTTATTGATATTCACATGGGTTACACACCCACAGTTTGTTCGAATCACATGTTTGGTGCGTATCGGCACGTTTTCGGCACACTTGGCTCGAAGTTTATTTGGCCTGTGCCATGAACGTGTCACAAACACACGCCCCGATGATTTCGTCGTAATTGCCTAGTCCAATCAGGTACTGAATTGTGATCTGTGTTGTTGAGCATTTATGTTTACAGTTTGTGCTGATTAGCTTCTGAATAGTATGTTTGCTTGCTCACTTCTGTCCACTAGCTCTTGTTGCAACTGACCCGATGCAAATTGACAGTTTCAGTTTAGACAAAAGCTGTATACTTTAGTGATTCACCATGAAAATAAGTAAATAAATGGTTTCACTTTTTATTTATTGAGTATAAAAATTTGCAAGCTCTTTTCTGGAGAGTGGTCTGGGTTATACAAAGGCTGCCTGGGAATAGGGAACATGGGCGTCGTCGTTGGTGGGATTCAAACTCAGGACACCCAGGTAACAATATCGATGACTTTACCATTTGACCATCATTATGATACAACCACTTACATTTCCTGTGAGAAGTATTGTTTCATTCATTTAGTTTGTATCAGTAAAGTAACATAATAAATGAACTCACCAAATGGGTTTTCAACTCCGAGAGGAGGGGGAAGATAAATTTGTGCTTTCAGTCCTGAAAACCTGAAAATATTACTTCAGATTATGCATTCACATTGCATCATTCCTTCAACTTTTTACGTCTTTCCCCGGGATTGATTGTTTTTTGCTTTCCATACATATCTGTTCGCTATAACATGCACATTACCAAACGCTCATTGTTCTTCCGATCCACCTTCCTAGAGCTTACCTGAGGGGGAATTACTCATTACCGAGACCACTTTTGGTAACGAAACAGCTGATATCGTTGGTGATGTCGTCTCCCAAGGGCTTGATCAAACAGATGACGCTTTTCTGATACCAACAAAACAAAGTGACAAGCGCATTCCATTCAATGTATCTCAANAATCTTTCAGTGTTCACCGACGTCTACTTCACACAGTCATCACTGACTACAAGTGCGATAAACAATATGTTCGCAACACAGTCTACCGCAGTCGTCCGGGCACTTGATCCGTCCCATTCGACATATCTCAACGATAATCCCGGACTGGATTGTGGTCCGGATCACGAGGGCATAGCACGACCAGTCTCTGCTCCGATTAGTCCCACCCTTACCACGGGTCTCGAATCGTCTGCATACTTCTCAAAGACGCACTCCATTGGTCAATCGCTTAACTCACCAACTTCCGTCCCATCACACCTTAGCTCAGCACCCACGTTACGACCGGGGGAGTCCGGTGTGCCAAGTACCATGGTACGTAAAGTTCAATTTATGTGTATCTACCATGACTCTTTTGCTCTTCAGATTTCTCCACTTTGCTGCTGTGGTTAACTGAAGTGTTATATGCACCATTATCAGTTAACCTTTCGGCGATCCACTTTTTGTATTTATTCCACTGTCCTTATAACTTGACGTTGTGCAGCGATTCTAGTTACCTACTCACAACCCTCATTTGTTGAATATGATAAACATTGTAATGTGAAATCCACCATTTCCCCAATTTCGCTGTTACTATTTTCATTCCCGTCTATCGATCATTCGCTCCTTAGACGTCACAATTTCCTGATTGGGATGGATTCCCAACGTTGGCTGCTCAGGTCACAACTTGCGTCCACACTGAGGCTCCTGCTTTGCAAAAGACGATCGATATTTTGGGCGAGGAGTTGCGTGCGGTTCAACGAGAATTGGAGTCACAGAGACAAGAAGCTGAAAATCTACGACAGCAGCTTGCCCGTTTAAGAGCTTCACAGTGTGTTTCCACACAAACAGGTCCCACAGATGTGTTCGAAATAAGTGTTGTTGATTCCGTTGGGCAAATGAATGAAACAGCAAAAACGGTGAGTGATGTACACCCCTCCACTGTTAGTGGTAGTAATCTTGTTCAACTTTCATGGTTGATGTCTTCAGGAAAACGAGTTAACCACTGCGAGAGATATTGGGAATTAAAATAACCGAAACTTGTGATGTTCGACTGTGGTTTATGTAATGTTGGCCTGTAGCGTTTGACCGTTTGCAGTTGGTTAACTAATTGGGGCGCATCTTTTTAGGTGTTTTACTGCATAAGTTGAATAAAAAAGATCACCGGACTATTTTTCCGGAATCGTTGAATCACCGCAATCTGTCGAAATTGAACAACCTACGGTTTTGACAATTTTCCAGCAGATTGCGATTATCTCAGCGAGCCTGAGGGGCCTTGCATTTTCAACTTTGGATACCGTCCAGAACACACTCTCGATCCTTGCATTTTCGCATCTAGGTGACTATCTAGTGATTGACAAAGTGGAAGTCCTGTCTTACTGATAAAGTGGTTTAGGTTGCTGTCACTGTCGCGCTCCGGGTCCTACCACCGACGTTCTAATCTTGCTACTCTCACCGAACTTTGGTGATGGAGATCCTCGCTGTTCGCTGGCTCGACACCACATCCATCCTATTTGGGGCTTTGGTCACCGGTTCCCGTAACCGACAAATAATTCCCAGTAGTCGTGCGCTTCATTCATGCTGGTAATCATACTGATTTTTGTCACAGGAAGAAATTACGTATAGTAATCTCATTTCCTTGTGATGTTTTACGCATTGATTACTTCTTGGGAGATTACTTCAAGTGATACTTTATCAACTGTATTTATGGGACGATAATTCATAAACCACGTGCAATTATCACTAATTTTATTCGCACTTTTGAATTCTGGTTTTTATGACATTCAAACCAGTGTCGAATGCTTATTCGTTTCTAGAATGAACTGTCGTTCGTGATGCGGTGTGTTTCGAACGATTTAATATGTAATCTCATCCATTTATTCAGGTACAGCCGCTAAATGTGTACGGTCTGACAAATGGAGTAATAACCCCAACAAGAACTGAACCAGCCACACTTGATGTGGCTGAGGACACAAAGAAAACGGATCCAGCTCCAGTGGTTTGCATACCGAACACTTATTCAAAGTGAGTTCCTTCCCTACCGTTGTATTTTCTAATCTGCATTTTCTCCATTGCGAAGTCTTTGGTTTTCAATAAGTTTTTTATGTATTATCTCATTCTGACGAGGGAGCTGAGCGAGGCAGCGCTTTTCGCTCTTGTGTGATGAACTTTCACCTTAATCGAGGTTCAAACCTGTTACGCGTGGCACTTGATAAATTATTTATATTTTGTCACTCCTCATCACGCTCGAGTAAACTCTAGAGTCCGCGGTTTTTTTATGCACTATGGAAATTGGTGGTGTGATAGTCGATGCGGATCATGTGATAGTTGTTCTACCCCTGTTGACACACATGAAAGCCAAAGCCTAAATTTTTATGTCCTTATTGGGACTCCAAACGCAAACACCGGAGTTGGTAGTCACAAAACCCTTATGCTTCAGTTTCACGATCGATAATCAGCATCTGCATTGTCTGGTTGTATTCTGACGGTTCGTTTCAGTCATCGCTGCCATGAAGGTACTTTAACTCTGACTCAGTAAAGAGACCACAACGGGGTGCGCAACTTCCTTTTTGACAGACCATTCGAATTTCCAGTTGTGCCTGAGAACAATTCACGTTACCTCTGAAACAGTTGCCACAATTCAAGTGAAACAGCATGAGGTTATTGGAGCCTAGCGTTGGCTTAATTTTTCAAGTTCAGCTGGAACAGTCACCGGTTTTCGTAAGAAGGTCCTCTTTCATATCATTTATTAGACGAACTGGCCATACGGCATTCACGCCATTGGCTTCGTTTGCTATCTTCTTTTGGCCTATGGCCAACGTCTGGTGTTTTTTAAGATTGTACACAAACATTCCGAACGGTCAACTAAGTAAAACCTTGTCGTTATTCCTCTTGTTCATAGGCTGTTAGCTAGGACCAAAATGTATAAGAATGAATGAGAAATACGCAAGCAGTGAGTCAGTCCATAGCTAGTGACTCAACGTGAACGGGAAGTGATCCGAATCCATCCTGAAATATTGTACGACATATCCTTTGTTTGTTGGTCATTGCATTTTTACTATGGAATTGAAAAATTTATTTGCTGTAGTTTGCTGATACCGAGCGACGTTCTGATCTGGCACCGCGGATGCCGCCGAAATTTTCAAAACCAACTGTATCAAACTAATTTGTGACCGGCTCCCATCTAACAAAGCACCACTTCGAGGTTGATTCTCAAATTGCTGTGATGACTTGTGTGAATCCATTACTCTGCTGGTTATATCGGACGACTTCTCATTGCCACAGATCTTGTCTTACCTAAAAGCCTTATGGGTACTGCCTGACAAATCTCAATATAAAAGACCTGCTGATTGGGCACCTACCGGCTTCCTTTGAAAGTCCACGTTACCCTCTCCAGCCTGTAAACACGACGAATAGCAGTTCGCCAGTCGGAAAATCCCACTTGTTGGATGCAGGAACGGGATACCTAAAGCTTCATCCCAGTGGCAGAAGTTTTCACACCTAACTGGGCATCTGTCGCTTGCCCAAGCCAGACAACCTTTAGCCAATAGGGCTTCGTCTCGTTCACGCTCCGCCTATCGCGTTGGGTCCATCCCGAACGGTGGACCGAAAGCGAACAAAACACATATGGGTTACGTATATTACCTTTGAGGATTTCTCGATAAGCCATGTTTGCCGAATCAGGTAGTAAATGCTAAAAGCCAAATGTGATCAGGCTAAGACCTTGCATATGTTTCTGACAACCCTGAATTGGGGCTTCGGTCTCTCAGTAGACTTTCCAACTAAGAACCTCGAGGTGAGTGTTAGCGATGGCCAGAAACACTGAGTGATATGACTGAGAATCGTAAACAGGGGCATTCGTATATCTGCTGGGTTTCTCCGCAATCTTAGTCTACCTGAATTTTCTATCTTCACCATGATGCTGTCCCATCTTTCCACTTCCTCTCTACTCATTCATCCAAATTGGCAGCCAGGAGATAGCAAGCACTACTGTCGAGCCAAGTTGCACTCGTATTGTGTGGACAGAAGAAAAAAACAGAATCAAACAAACCGCTTTTAGTTATATAAGTTAGTTTATAAGTTTTAGCCCACATAATCGACTATCTCACAGAGTAGTGTTTGAAAGAACTCAGGGCATAGCTCAAAGTAACATGTTCAGGGCCACTCATCCTTAGGTTTTCGAAGTTGTATCTCTAATCCAGGCATCACAGGAATGGCTATCCTGTTTCGGAGTGTACGACGTTCGAATACGTCATTATGCTCTATTGACACAGTTGTTTATTGTGGACTGACCGTTTACTATCCGAAATTATACCACGTTCGCAGACATTGCACCGATTGTCCGCGAACACTCTTCCACGGTTGTAATACCCTCTCTGCTTGCAGTTAACCAGCAAAGTAGCTGTTCTTGTGCATCAGTTGAGAGACCAGTTCGTTAGCTTGCAGCGCCACTGAGCCCAAATCTTTGCTGATCTACAGCTTCAGAGATACTAACCCAACGGATAGTCCACGAGTTGGGTAATGCAGAACAGAATAGTATCGTGAATTCTTGCTTTGAAAAGTCGCGCAGCTATTTAAACTAATAGGCCGCATTCAACTATATTTAGGCATGTGACAACCCTGATGTCAGTATGACATTTCTAATTATTGAAAATCGGTTCTCGTAGCTCGGGTGAACTGAATTCTATTTCGCCTCGGCGAACAGGCGAAATAGAATGACATGTTAGTCAAATTTTCTCCCTTTTAATGTCGGTCCGTGTTTTTAAAGTACTCAAAGTAATTGCAAAGAAGAGCAGTTATCAGTAATCCGTATTCATAGAATAAATTAAGTTTATTATTTTTAACTGAATGGCCGTACTCTCACTGACATGCCACTTCATTTTGACATAATTTACAGGGTTTCAGATTTGCGATCTCGTTTAGCTACGGCGATAGATGACCCTGAACCTCTGGAAAATCCGTCTGGGGATGTTGCGTCTCGGAACTGCATCTCTTTGGTACGTGTTCCATCAAATACAACTCAGTTATCTATATTGGTACAACCTCAAAACGGATTATTTCCTGCCGTCTCAGCTAATGATCTAACATCTTATTCCCAAGTTCCTGTTTCTGCAAGCTCTCGCTGTCGAAGCGCCGGCGCGTCACGTGTTACCACAACGACCTCGTCCGCTCCGTCAGATGGAATGGCTCAGGCCTAAGTATCACCACCCTCCGCACACATACACACTCCGCTCTGAACCAGTCGCGCCTCCTCAATCGTATCCAGTCCATTCTTGTTTGGATTGCCCCTCAACCAATGCCATGTCTTTCACTTTCACTTTTTACCAAGACTCGAGTTTCGCTTTATTTCCTGCGGCTTCTTTCTCCTCACCCACTAGTTCTTCTCAAGGCCAAATAAATGTTTTCGCGCTCGGTTTTGGTTATTTTCTATTTCGAGTTCCTATTTTCTTCAGTCTTTCTCTTTCCCGACACATTTAGCATTTTCCTTGACACCAAACTCCTACGCTACCGTGATTCTTATTGTGACTGATTCCGTTCGCTTTCGACCGATTCTGATAATCTGCTCCCAGTTCTATCCAAATGCACGCACATGCATCTGTTCGGTTACTCTATCCTGTTTGCTGTTCAATCCGGCAATGCTCTTGATCCTGGTTGTTGTTCCTCTGATGAACTGCACTATCGGCCGAGTTGGCGCATTCGCTCATGCACCAAACACGTTCATGTAAGCCTTGCAAGAGGTGGTGATTTTTCTTCGACCTATTAACGATTTTCTCGTTCGTTGATCGTCAAAGTGGCTCACATCCTTAGTAAAAGTACTTGTTCGACTTGTCTTAAGCTCCAATTCTATGTTTACTTTCGTCTCTGAATGTGTGTTTGTATATCGACTCATTCTCACCGTGTTTGTTTGTCAGCCGTGAAACCTCATTTACTCGTCTGCCAGCACGCGCTTATATGATGCGAAT